CTTCTCGGTGGTGGCCCCTCACCTGTGTTGAATGTTGGATAATTGAAGGCCAGATAAACGAGACTCTACTATATTATTATTATTGTTGTTGTTGTTATTATTATTATTATTAATATTATTAATAATAATAATATCATATAAACAACCAGATTAATACACAGAAAACAAGATCACTTTGCTAGCTTTTGTATTCAATCACAAGTCAGACACTTCCCAAGTGTCTAGAACTGTGTGATGTATCAGTGACTAATGCGTGCAGATCTGAGTAGGGTGACCCTTTGCAGCTGACAGATGGTAATTTTGTCAGCTCCAATTGTTTTTAAGTGCAGGCCAAGGTCTTTACCTACAAACCCTATATGGTTCTGGCCCAGCGTATCTGTCCAAACGCATCTCCTTCTATGTCCTGCCTCGGAGTTTAAGATCTTCTGGGGAGGCCCTGCTCTCGGCCCCACCTCTATCACAAGTGAGGTTGGTGGGGACGAGGAGCAGGGCCTTCTCGGTGGTGGCCCCTCACCTGTGGAATTCACTCCCTGGGGAAATTAGGTCATCGACATCCCTCCTCTCTTTTAGAAGGAAATTAAAAACATGGATTTGGGACCAGGCTTTTGGGTAATCTGGCAGATAGACAAAGGATAAGCGACGACCAGAATTGATGGATTTGACAATGTGGAATTGAATTTACGGACTCTGAGCTGGCAAACATTGAGCACTAGATTGGTTTTATGGATTATGATGTATAATGGATTGTTTTAATTATTTTAATTACTGTTTATATATGTTTTATTTTTATCTTATTGTTGTTCTGGCATCAAATTGTGCCTGTTCTAAGCCGCCCTGAGTACCCCCTCGGGGGTTGAGAAGGGCGGGGTAGAAGTGCGAGAAATAAATAAATAAAATTTAGGTACTGTATCCAGTGTGTCAATCACCACTGGGACCACCTTGACTGACTTGTCTTTGCAGTTCGATCTTTAAATCCTCATATCGTGTCAGCTTTTCCAGTTGTTTCTTGTCAATTCTGCTATCACATTATTATTGTTGTTGTTGTTATTATATATGTGGCAACCTGCGCCACATTCTGGGCAGCACAGAGGGGATGGATAGTTTTGGAGGGTCCCTCCTGCATGTATCTTGCACCCCACCCCACATACTGTTAGGCAATGCTCATATTCCTTCCCTGGTTCCTTCTTCCTCCTTAAGAAGACAAGCTCCAAATATGCAAAACAAAAAAGATGCAAGGATATATTTCAGGAAGTCACTGATACTGGTCTCCTAGATAAGTGAGGGTCAAGAGCTTCTCAGGCCTCCTGCTAGCAATGGCAAGACACACAAAGGCCCCAGAAAGATGCTTCCCTTTATTGCTGCAAGGACTGGGCAATGTCCCTCCAAATCCGTAGGCCTCTATGCCCCAGGGCCCACATTTGGGGGAAACAGACCCTGGCTGAGCTTTCTTTGAATGGCACAAGTCCAATGTGTTGGTGTTGTGGTTTAAACAAAGGATGGGATGCTCATATGTGGTGAGAATGTCCAAAGGTTGGGAAAAAATATGAAAAAAATGGAAAAACTATTTAAATTATCATGGACATGGATTTGATGCTACTGGGAGTTTTAGTTAACCACAAGGACAAAGTAAAAGATCAGGAATGATTGAAAGTGATTATTTTAGTAGGACAGGCAGTGGTAGTATGGGGTTGGAAAGAGGGGAAAATGGATTATGGAACACTGGAATAACTACCTTTACAATCTGATATTATCGCATGTCTATATATTATAGCATGTCTCAAAATGCTATGCATTGAGTGTAAAACAAGAGGAATCAAAGATAAATAGTTTATATCAGGCATAGGCAAACTTCGGAGTGGTGGGAGTTGGAGTCCAAAACAACTGCAAGACCCGAGTTTGTTTATGTCTGGTCTACACTGTCATATCATCCAGGTCAAAGCAGATGATCTGGATTTTATGTGGCAGTGTAGAAAAGGCCTCACTTAACCAATTTTGTATTCTGCACAGCCAACCAGGAGAAGCCCCATGCATGCTCTATTGCAGCAGTCTAGCTTCATCACTTAAGTGGCTGAGGGGGGAAAGGAAAGGGCCTGAGGCTGTTAGGAATTGTGGGAGTTGAAGTCCAAAACACCGGGAGAGCCGAAGTTTGCCCATGCCTGATTTATATGGAATGGATAAAAAAGCGGTGAAGCCAGTTTGAATATTGTACAGAAATTAAGAAAATTATGCTAATGGATAAAGATACAGAAGTAGTATGTGGTCTATGTGATGGGTGGAGAGGATGGGAAGTCTTTAATAATGCTTTAAAAAATCAAAACAAACCAACAAAAAGTCAAAGGCAGCTTTGCACAAGCTATTATTGAACTTGGCTCAGCCACAGACACCTCTAAAGAGCCGCTATCCCTTCACTTTCTGGAGATGTGGGCTTTTGTGGCAGCCACATATGCCTGGGAACGGGCCCTTCTGTTAAGGTTGGCCATTTGGCTGCAAAGGTAGGATGGGAAGGAAGCCCAGCAAAGCATGGGGATGCGTACCCAAGACGCCCACGCGGTAGTTGAGGGTGATGACGATGACGTTGCCGTAGCTGGCCAGGACACTGCCGTCGATCATGTTGCCCGTGCCCTCCATGTAGGAGCCCCCGTGGATGTAGACCATCACCGGCTTGGCCCCGCTGTCTCGGATGTCTGCAAGGGGAGAAGGGAGAGACAGGACCCGGAGACAAATACTGTGGTCTGGAGATATCGACGCTAGCTGCGTGGCAAGGAGAGTGGGGAGACCCCTCGTATCTCCTTAACTAATGCTAAGGGAGGCACAGAAAGGAGGGCAAGAGGACAGAGGCTCTTAGGTTTGATGGGTCAAGGCAGTGACATTTGGTTGCTCTTCACTCAGTCCTGCAGTGAATCCGTCCCATGTTTTGACCAGATCGAAATGCTTCCAATTGGCCATTTATCTATGAAGTGGCTCAGAGCGCTCCCTTAAATCACAGAATCATAGAGTTGGAAGAGACCTCATGGGCCATCCAGTCCAACCCCCTGCCAAGAACAGGAAAATTGCATTCAAAGCACCCCCGACAGATGGCCATCCAGCCTCTATTTAAAAGCTTCAAAAGAAGGAACCTCCACCAATCTCCAGGGCAGAGAGTTCCACTGCTGAACGGCTCTCACAGTCAGGAATGTCTTCCTAAAGCCTGAGCTGTGGATGCCCTTCAGACTGGTGGGGCTGAGAGTGTCCCAGTACTGGTCCAGTACAGAGCCAACACTCGACTGGGCCATTGCTTTAGTTTAGCTTCCAACAAAAGGCAAGAGATTGACTACTGAGTAAATCTTTCTATGGAACCGGTATAGAATACTGACTTATGACTTTGGAAGACCGGGGTTTGAAACCCCGCTCAGCCATGGAAAAGCTCTAGATGTCCTTGGGCAATTCACGCTCCTTTTCAGCACATAGGCAGATTCGGAGGCTTCTAGAGCAGTGATTCCCAACCTTTTTTTTTGACCAGGGACCTCTTTGACCAGGGACCACTCTCCAACATTAGTAGCAAAAGGGTTACGATTCAGTTTTTGGTCAGCTTTAGATTCATTTTGGTTATTTGGGGTGCCGATTCAGAAAACTGGATTGGATAGAACACATCAGACCACATGGCTGAAGAAACCTGTATGGGAAACCCCCCCCCCCCCCCGAGTTGAATTGAAGGCCTAAACAACAAACAAGGGTTTCTTTGTGTCCCTGGCAGCATAGTTTGAGTATGGACTCCAAAAAGTAATACTCTCTCAACCTTAGAGGCCACAGTAAACTTTTTATGAATCATAGAATTATAGAGTTGGAAGAGACCTAATGTCCTATCCAGTCCAACTCCATTTTGCCAAAAAGCAGGAAAATTGCATTCAAAGTACCCCCGACAGATGGCCATCCAGCCTCTGTTTAAAAACTTCCAAAGAAGGAGCCTCCACCACACTCTGGGGCAGAGAGTTCCACTGCTGAACAGCTCTCACAGTCAGGAAGTTCTTCCTCATGTTCAGATGGAATCTCCTTTCTTTAGTTTGAAGCCATTGCTCCGTGTCCTAGTCTCCAGGGCAGCAGAAAACAAGTTCGCTCCCTCCTCCCTGTGACTTCCTTTCACATATTTATACATGGCTATCATGTCTCCTGATGTCTTTTTAGGCAAGGCTCACGAAGGATAAGCCTTACCTAGAAAGCCCAAGAACAGGGAAGCACACAAGTTAGGAGTAAAATTGAAGACATTTAACTTATAAATAAAAACATCTTTTTGAGGGCTTCATTGCAGCCCTGGTTTGGAAGTGCTGCCGGCAGGAAGGGCTTAAGATACGGGAGCGTTGGTGTAAGGCTGTTCTCCCCATGCTTCAAGGAGGCTTCTCTCTTATAGCTGCATTTCTGGTCTCTCAACAATGCCAAGGGCTGATGGATATTTCCCCTTCTGTCTGGCGCTGGTCAGAAGGGCAAGGACACCCTCGAGGGATGGGAGCTGGGCCAGATGGGGCTCTGGCCTCAGGGAGATAGCCGGCCCTTTCTTGCTCCCGAATCATTCACGATCCACTATGCGCCATATCAACGAAGGGAAAAGACAGGCCTGCCTGGGCTTCCCCTGGTATTTTTAGCAACATCCGCAGCTCGGCTGTTTCTCTTAAGGTCACATATCTCAAAGCATCTTCCCGATTGAGGCAAACGCTTCCCTCAATCCCGATCCAGAGAGGCAGGAGAGAAAGGAGCTGCCCTTTGAAAGCAGAAGAGGAGGCTGTGGTCTCCATTTCAGCACATACTAGGCAGATTTGGAGGCATCTAAAGCAGTGGTTCACAACCTTTTTTTGACCAGGGACCACTCTCCAACATTAGTAGCAAAAATGTTACGAATCAGTTTTTGGTCAGCTTTAGATTCAGTTTGGTTATTTGGGATGCCGATTCAGAAAATTGCATTGGATAGACCACATGAGCTCTAGTTTAGATACATCTGATTGCCCACAGAAAACCATATTTAATAATTTTAAATGAGAATGAAACACCCTGATAATGTCACTCCGTGGGTTTCTTACTAAGAACTTCTAAAAACTAGAAAAACATATTTAATAATCTGACGTGGCAGTAGTAATCTTTCGTGGGTAGTCAGCCTCTCCCCTCCCAACATCCCTGTTGCCTCAGTACTATAAGAGGGTTTCGCGAGACCAGTCGCTCTCGTTGCTGTGTGGCTTTGAGGAAACTGTGCAGTAATGGTGAGGTTGCATTCTTGTGGACCACTGATGGTCCACGAACCACAGGTTGGGAACCACTGTTCTAGAGCAACTGCTGGTAACCGTTTCCATAGCTTTCTATGTCAGGTGATGATGACACACGAGGGACACACTGTCTCAGGGATGAACTGGGAAAGGGGCCATTTCTGGCCGGGAAACCTGAGCTGCAGAGCCTCTGCCTTCTCCTGCCATCTCTGCTCTGATGACCGAGGGGCCTCCCGGTCTCTGCCAAAGCCACGCTTGCCCCCGGGGCACACAGCCTTGCCCTCCGCCACCCAGTTCCTCCGGAGAGGCAGAATCCTGTGCCTAGAGTTCCATCCAGGCCATTCTCAGCCGTGTTTGCATGTGTGGCCATGTTCCCGCATGCTCCCAAAGAGGGTCCTGCTCTGGTATCAGCATGTTTCTTTCTCTTAGCATTGGGGGCAACCAACTAGGAAGAATGCCCGCTTCCCCTTGCCAGGTCTAACGTGCTTCCAGACCTTCTGGTTTTGAGAGAAGAGGCTGTTCAGCTGCCACAGATAGACAGTCACAGCCGGCACAGCCGGGACTTGGATTGACCCTAAGGAGCAAGAAGAAAGGCACATCGGCAGCAGTGGTGCACATCCCGTGCTGAAAGCTCCCATTAGGCAGAAGGTGATGGCAACCAAAGAAGAACCTCGATTCAAGGGGCCAATGGAGGGAAAGGGCCAAAAACTGGTAGCAGTGGCATGTGCCTGCCAAGGGCTCTCCGTACCTGGGCCATGTGCAAAGCTTCCGTAAGCCAGCATGTCTGTGTGCGTGGCAGAGGGCGATGGGCACGCACGGTGGGAAAGAAGGACCCTGTGGCCCTTTGCCTTGCTTTTGTGCCACTCTCCACAACAGCCTTGGAGGAGGGCAATGGAAAAGGGCAGTGGTGACGACCCACCCCCCCCCCCGTCCCAAAGAACTCGGAAAGGCATCCCATGCAACCGGCTCAGCGACAGGAAAGACACATAGAGCTGGGGCTTCCTGGGATGGCAGCGGATGAGGAGCGCATGGGAGAGCGAGAGAAAGAGAGAGAGAAGGCAAAGAAGGAGGGAAAGAGAGAAAGAGGGCAAGAAGAGAGAGAAAGAGAAAGAAAGAGAGGGGAGTGGGAGGGCGGGGTTCATGCAGCGACAGCCACCTGGCGCACACAAATACCTTCGTCTTCATCCCCGTCATTATCCGCTAAGTCCTCGCCCTGTTTCTTAGCGCTGGAGCCTGGGGACCAAACACGAGGAGACAGAACGGAAAGAAAAGGAAAAAAAAAAAGGAAGAGGGAAACAAACCGAAAAGAAAAGAAAACAACAACAACAACGAAAAGAAAACAAAAACAGGAAGAAAGAAAAAGAAACAAAAGAGAATTCAAAAATAGCGTGATTGCAGAGAAAGGGGGGGCCACATTACCTGGACAGCGCTGGGGTCTGTGTGTGTCGGGGAGGCCTCCGCCAGCGCCAAGGCAGCACCGCTTTGCCCTCTGACCTCCAGAAGCAGCACTGGGGGAGGGGCCAGGGCGGGGCCCCTGGGGGGCAGGACCCCTCCCGCCCTCCCAAGGAAAGTGGGGGGCCCAAGAAGGGAAAGCGAGGGACAAGGAGCAAAGCCTCACTTTGGGGGGCCGTCCTGACCGCCCTTCTTCTCTCTGCTGTAAGGTGGAAACCCATGGGCCCCACGTGGGACTGCCTTCACAACTATTTCACAAACAAGTGAAAACTTGGCTTTGGGAGCAAGCATTTGGCCCAGCATAATTACCAGTGCAATAGAGTTAGAATTGGCTTTGGACTGATGAATATGATTATCTGATTATCTGGCTTTGGATCTATGCACAGTAGTTGTCTAATGTTTACATACGCTGCTCTAAATTGTTACTTTAATTGTTGTTGTTGATTGGGCATGATATAATGCCACCCATGTAAGCCAACCTGAGTCCTCTTTGGGGTGAGAAGCACAGGATATAAATGTCATAAATAAATAAATATCCTGCTCCTCTCGGGGGGTTTTCTTCTATGGGCAGTTGGGGGGAGGGGTGTTATTCCAGGACCAGGAATGTGGTTTTTGAAACATTTCCTTCTTTCATTGGATGGAGTTGGCACAGATCACTTTAGGTTCTTGTGGATTTTTTCGGGCTATAGGGCCATGTTCTAGAGGCCTTTCTCCTGACATTTCGCCTGCATCTATGGCAAGCATCTTCAGATCACTTTGCTTGCCGGCAGGGGAACCACACGAGGAAGTGACCCCTCCCTCCCTTTTACCTCTGCTTCCTTCCTTCCTTCCTTCCTTCCTTCCTTCCTTCCTTCCTTCCTTCCTTCCTTTTTTGGAGCACGATTCCCAGAATCCCCGAGGAGGGAGAGATGGATGTGTGCATGCATGTACATTGGTGTGAGCATGCTCACATGCACAAGACAGGAATGGTAGCGGGCGATCCAACCGCCAGCCATTTCCGGCAGTTGGCACTAAGGTGAGTGGGACTGACTGTACAATGAGAGTATGGCTGCGTTTCCCCTTTTATTGCCTATGGCAGGCATGGGCAAACTTGGGCCCTCCCTCCAGGTGTTTTTGGACCATCTCCCAAAGAAAGTGGCCTGAGGCTGTTAGGAATTTTAGGAGTTGAAATCCAAAACACCTGGAGAGAGGGCCCAAGTTTGCCCATGGTTTAGCCCCTGAATCATCGTGTCATGAAAGGATACATGTCTCAATCATGTGTCACTAACATGAAAGGTTTGGCAACACATGGATGCTTTTGCTCTGGATTCGGACAGACTTTGGTGCGGACAGACTTTGGGGTCTGGAGGGCCCAAGTTTGCCCATGCCTGGTTTAGCCCCTGAATCATCGTGTCGCTAAAGTTTGCATGTCTCAGTCGTATGTCACTAGCATGAAAGGTTTGGCAATGTATGGATGCTTTCATTCTGGATTCTTGCTTTATTTAGGTGCGGACAGACTTTGGGGTCTGGAGGGCCCAAGTTTGCCCATGGCTAGCCTATGTGATTCTCATATTTCTAGTTCTGAGCTCACTGCCAGGCAGTTCTAAATGCCCTTCTTGGCTGCTAACTTTTAGGTCTCAGAGTTGGTGCTCCATCATCCACTTTGATGCTCTTAGCAGGGCATGAAATCCCCTTCAAACACCCAGAGGTCCCCATCCTGAGCCGCTCAAATACTAGACTTTGAACCTCAAGCCATTAGCCATTTACCGCTGCCTGAGGTCACTTATTCTGATGGGCAATAACTACTATTTGGGTTCTTAGAAAGACCCAAGATCTCTTGCTATCCTTGCTCTGCCTGAAGGCTTAAAAACTTGCACATGCCAATCATATGCTTGACACATTCCCTCCAACAAACTGTCCCTTTAGGTGACTTGCAAATGGTGCTTCAGTAGGACAAGGTATTCTAATTGTAAGTATTTTCAAAGGTTGTTGTAGGTTTTTTCGGGCTATATGGCCATGGTCTAGAGGCATTCTCTCCTGACGTTTCACCTGCATCTATGGCAAGCATCCTCAGAGGTACCTCTGAGGATGCTTGCCATAGATGCAGGCGAAACGTCAGGAGAGAATGCCTCTAGAACATGGCCATATAGCCCGAAAAAACCTACAACAACCCAGTGATTCCGGCCATGAAAGCCTTCGACAATACATTTTCAAAGGTATTTGAATAAGAGAGCACCCTTTGTCCTTTCCAGGGCATAGAAAGGAGCCACAAGCATAATCAGACCTATAGCCAGAGGCCATATGAGAGATTCATGCTTGACTTTTGGATGTTCTGTTGTTATGCCCACCTCCTGAAGGCCATCCTCCTAGTTTCTGGCCTCACAAATGCAGACAAAAGCTGATGGGCCCTTCGCTTTCCAGGTCTCAAAAGCTGGCTGGCAAACAGGGCGTTTTTGGGAAGAGCCGTCTCATGGAAAAGCTGCAAGCTTCTTTCTGCCTGGAAGGACCAGGTTCCCAGTTTAGGACTAGGTTGCTCGTTTTGCAAAGAATGGAAAACCCTTTGGCTTCACCAAAGACTGAAGGGAAATTATTATGACATTGTTATGACCAGAGCACCCATTTCTGGGCAGGTGGACAAAGAACAAGCGGGTGCTCACCGCCTCTCCGTGTACGGGCGGTTTGACTATCCTTTGATCCAAACAAGGGGAGCCTTCCCTTTGCAAACTTGGTGGTGGCAGCCCAGTATTTTGAGGGCAGAAGAAGGCTGTATGGCAAGCACACTGCCCCATCTTTCCATGGGGAAAGAGGGCCCGCGGAGGCTGTGTTTCCCACCAGCCTTGGGAACCAACACTGCCTAAGGGTAGGACGGCCCTGCAAAATTTCAGAGACGCTTCAGGCAAGATCCAAAGGGAGCCATTTGAAGGCAATGCCAGTTGAGCCACTTCAGCGCAAAGTGTTGGGTGCCATCCCTGGACTGCACAACTCTCTTCTGTTATCAAGTCTCCATTCCTCAATGAATAGCTAGACTAGAGATAGAATTAGGCTGAGGGATTCTTTCCCCACATTCCTATGGATGTTTACCAAAAGGGCTTGTCTTTCCTCCTCCTGCCAGCCACTGTCTCCTCCCCTTTGAAGATGGAATCTCTGCGTGGGAACTTCCTTTCGAAAGGTATTTTTATTGCCATGTGGCCATTCGCTACCATTGTCTCTTCTGCCTTTTCTTCCTTCCAGTGAGGACACATTTTGCCTCTCTCTTTAGGCAAAATGTAGCTGCATGGATTTTTACATTTTTTTTACCTTTTACTTCTATAGAAGATGAGACTTAGTAAGCCAGTTTTCTCCAAGACCTTTTCTATCTAGAATGTATTTCTTTTATTTCAATAAATACTTTTGAAACTAAAGCCTTGACGCTGCAATCCTATGCCATCTTATGGAGTGAAAGCTTATCCTTGCTTGCCACATGTAAATTTCTACTAGTTATGATGTTTACTTCTGGTACTCTGCTATATTTATGATGGAATCACCCCAACTGAGGGATATCTTTGAGCCTTACAGCTCAGATTCCTGAACGCAAAGGGTGCCAAAATATCATGTCCCAAGGCAAAGGATAACAGGGGGACCAAGTCACTCGGAGCCCCCAACAGAGGCTTCCTCCTCCTCTTCCTCTTTGCTTTGGACCAAACAAAGCGGCCCTGTCTCTGGCCGTGGCTCGGATTCCGGGACTGCGCAGTCGCTATGGCAACCGAGGCAGAGAGGCTGCATTTTTCCCCATCAAGGAGCACCGGCGCTTCCCCCGCCGCCGCCTTCGATGCCGGGCTGCCGAGTCTCTCCTCCTCCTCCTCCTCCGCTTTTCTCTCCCTGTCCCTGCCATTTGGACCCAATTGGGGGAAACCTCATTCGAGGTGGGCTTTCAAGCACTGTCCTCTCTCCTCTCCACCGACATGCCAAAGGACCACCCTGGTACTCTGCCCTTGGTAGGCCAAGCAAAGGGAGAGGCGAAGGGTGTGATGCTTCCCTTAAGGGAGGAAAGAAAGACAGGAGGGAGGAAGATGCTGTGCCAGGCTGGGAGGTGGCAACCCAGGGGCGGATTAAACCCTCGACCAGAGATGAGCAAAAGAAAAAAGGGATTTCCTGCTACAAGGCATGTCAAGCCATCGCCACAAGTCACTGCTGATGCACTTGCACTGACACCGTGAAATGCTGTTGCACTGCTCAAGCAGCAATTAGAAGCCTCAGCTCTGCCCTAGTGCAACCTCCAAAGGGGTCCTCTCTATATACAGAAGCACATAGGTATTCTTGCCCAAATAACATGGGTTTCTGGACCGCTGGGGCCCGGTTGAAGGGGCCGCATTTCTCTCCATCTGGAAGCCAGCATCCCACAGCGAAAGCCCTTGGAAGGAGGAAGGGAACAGGGAGTGAGAGCCATTCTGGAGAGGCTCTGTGCCCATTCGGAGGATCAGAGACAGGCCGGCATTACCTACAACCACTTTCTCTATATAGATAGGAGCTGAGGCTTTGACACGACCATTTTCTGGCAGTGTGCAAGGGAAGGCAGCCTCATCTGCACTGACAATTTGTGGCACGGGGCACAGAAAGCAGCCTCCTCCCTGGAGACCAACAGCCACAGTTACCAATAGAAGCCTTTACCTTTGTTTATGTACTGTCTGTCTTTGTTAACTGTATAATCGGCATTGACTGTTTGCCGTATATGTGTAATGTAATCCACCCCGAGTCCCCTCAGGGAGATAAGGCGCAATATAAATAAAATATATTATTGGGTTGTTGTAGGTTTTTTCGGGCTATATGGCCATGTTCTCAAGGCATTCTCTCCTGACGTTTCGCCTGCATCTATGGCAAGCATCCTCAGAGGTAGTAATATTATTACTCAGAGGTAATAATAATAATAATAATAATAATAATAATAATAATAATAATAATAATATTTTTCATTTTTTTTCATTTTTTCAATTTTCTTTTTTTAATTTTTCACGTTTTTTTCTTTTTTCTTTTTTTTCTCTTCCTTTTTTGGTGATGTGTGCTAAACTTTTCCTACTTTTCTATCTTCTCCAAATTATTCTCACTCTTTCGCTGTATTTTTATGATATCTTAATTTCAATAAAAAAATTTATTTACAAATAATAATAATAATAATAATAATAATAAATTATTATTATTATTATTATTATTATTATTATTATATTGTTGAAGGCTTTCATGGCCGGAATCACTGGGCTGTTGTGAGTTTTCCAGGCTTTATGGTCTTGTTCCAGAAGCATTCCCTCCTGACGTTTTACCTGCATCTATGGCACGCATCCTCAGAGGTTGTGAGACTTCTCTTTGGTGCTTCACCAAACTACAAATCCCAGGATTCCATAGCATCCAGCAAGTGAGGTTTATATATCTGTGGAATGATGTCCAGGGTCAGAGAAAGAACTCTTAGTCTGCTTGAGGCAAGTGTGAATGTTGCAATTGGCCAACTTGATTAGCATTTAATGGCCTTGCAGCTTCAAAGCCTGACTGCTTCCTGCCGGGGATCTTTTCTTGAGAAGTATTAGCTGACCCTGACTGATTTTTGTCTGGAATTCCTCTGCTTTTTGAGGATGCCTGCCATAGATTGCCAACTGCGTTGCCAACTGTGAACCGCCCTGAATCGCCTTCGGGCTGAGAAGGGCGGTATACAAATATGGTAAATAAATAAATAAATAAATAGATGCAGGTGAAACGTCAGGAGGGAATGCTTCCGGAACATGGTCATACAGCCCGGAAAACTCACAACAACCTATTATTATTAATATTATTAATTAAAGCTCCTTCTCCTGGCAAAGCCATCCTGGAAAGCAGAAAAGCCAAGAGAGAGGCACCAACCAGCAAGACCAATCAAGAGGAAGTGACGGAAAGAAGTTTCTGCGTTGGAGGATTAGGTTCCAGTTCAGGACTAGTTTGTTGCTTTTGCAAAGAACAGAAAACCCATTGGCTTTACCAAAGACTGAACGGAAAAGAGGAACTCTGCCTTGTGTTATTATGACCAGGGCATTCATTTCTGGGCAGTCAGGCAAAGAACAAGGGTGTGCCCACCGCCTCTCCATGTTTTGGCAGATCAATCATCCTTTGTTGTGAGTTTTTTGGACTGTATAGCCATGTTCTGGAAGCGTTTTCTCTTGACGTTTTGCCTGCATCTATGGCAGAGGTTGTGGTGGCCAACTGCAACATTCACACCTACCTCAAACAGACAAAGAGTTCTTTCTCCCACTAATCACCTCCCAACAAAGGATTCCCCCAGGCAGTAAGAGGCCAGACCTTAGAACTGTTAGGCCATTAAATGCTAATCAAGGTGGCCACTTGAAACATTCACACCAACCTCAAACAGACAAAGAGTTCTTTCTCCCATCCCAATAATGATAATAATAATAATAATAATAATAATAATAATAATAATAATAGGTTGTTGTGAGTTTTTCTGGGCTGTATGGCCATGTTCCAGAAGCATTCTCTCCTGATATTTCACCTGCATCTATTTATTTATTTACCATATTTGTATACCACCCTTCTCAGCCCGAAGGCGACTCAGGGGGGTTCACAGTTGGCAACATTTAATGCCTCAACAAATAAATCTATGGCAGGCATCCTCAAAAAGCAAAGGAATTCCAGACAATTCCTGCTACCTACAGTCAGGGCCAGCTAACACCTCTCAAGAAAAGATCCCCCAGGCAGCAACCAGCCAGGCTTCAAAGCTGCAAGGCCATTAAATGCTAATCAAGGTGGCCACTTGAAACATTCACACTTGCCTCAAGCAGACAAAGAGTTCTTTCTCTGACCCTGGACATCATTCCACAGATATATAAACCCCATTTTCCTAGTTTCCGACAGGCCTCACAACCTTGAAGGATGCCTGCCATAGATTCAGGCGAAATGTCAGGAATGCTTCGGAACATGGCTATACAGCCTGGAAAATTCTCCTGACGTTTTGCCTGCATCTATGGCAGGCATCCTCAGACGTTGTGGGGGCCAACTGCAACATTCACACCTACCTCAAACAGGCAAAGAGTTCTTTCTCCCACTAATCACCTCCCAACAAAGGATTCCCCCAGGCAGTAAGAGGCCAGACCTTAGAACTGTTAGGCCATTAAATGCTAATCAAGGTGGCTACTTGAAACATTCATACCTACCTCAAGCAGACAAGAGTTCTTTCTCCCCTGGACATTCCACAGATATATAAACCCCATTTTCCTAGTTTCCAACAGACCTCACAACCTTGGAGGATGCCTGCCATAGATGCAGGCAAAACGCCAGGAATGCTTTGGAACATGGCTATACAGCCTGGAAAATTCTCCTGACGTTTTGCCTGTATCTATGGCAGGCATCCTCAGAGGTTGTGGGGGCCAACTGCAACATTCACACCTACCTCAAACAGACAAAGAGTTCTTTCGCCCACTAATCACCTCCCAACAAAGGATTCCCCCAGGCAGTAAGAGGCCAGACCTTAGAACTGTTAGGCCATTAAATGCTAATCAAGGTGGCCACTTGAAACTCACACCTACCTCAAACAGACAAAGAGTTCTTTCTCCCATCCTGGACATCATTCCACAGATATATAAACCCCATTTTCCTAGTTTCCCACAGACCTCACAACCTCAGAGGATGCCTGCCATAGATGCAGGTGAAACGTCAGGAGGGAATGCTTCTGGAACATGACCATACAGCCTGGAAAACTCACAACAACCTAGTGATTCCGGCCATGAAAGCCTTCGACAATATAATAATAATGATAATGATGATATATTTTATTTACATTCCGCCCTATAAACCCAATTTTCCTAGTTTCCAACAGACCTCACAACCTTGGAGGATGCCTGCCATAGATGCAGGCGAAATGTCAAGAATGCTTCGGAAGATGGCTAGACAGTCTGGAAAATTCATAACAATCTAGTGATTTTGGCCATGAAAGCCTTCGACAATGCCTCAATCATCTGAGTGGGACCCCAGCCCACCTTTGGAAACATTTGGGGCAGAGAGGAGGGCGAGAAAGGGCAAAGACGGAGGTGCAGCCCGGCGCGGAGGTGCGTTGGAAGGAAGGTGGGAAACGCATAGACAGAGATGGCACGCATGGCAGGGAGGCTCCCATGGCAACCCTGTCCCTGCCTCGGGCCCTACAAAAGGAGCAAAGCGGCGGAGGAGTGTGTGTGTGCGTGCCAGGCACCATTTTGCTTGGAGGACTTTGGGAGCAAGGCGGTGACCCTGCTGTGCTTTTCTTCCTGGCTAACCTGGCCCACGGAAGGTGTCCCAGTACATTTTACGCAAAGCAAAGGGGAGGAGAGAGCAAGGCGGTGGTGCCAGGGATGGTTGGGGTGCGGAGCGGGGTGGGGGAGAGCAAAGGAGACCCCCTTCGCCTGGGGGACATCGGTCCTGGACCAGGAAGGGCTGCCCTGGCTGGAGTGGGTGGGCTCTGGAGGGACCCCAAGGGTCGGGAAGCGCCCGTCGCGTCGTGGCGTGGGGCCGCTCTCTCCCTGGCCTCTCTCTGCGCCCCTCCTGCCAGGCCCCCTTTGCCCCCCGGCTCTTGCTACCTACCTCCTTTCCTACATATTTTCTTGTTGGGTTTTCGGGCGCATTCCTTGGAAATCCGTTTTACTGTAAAATGAATAAAAGACTACAAAATAACAGGAGGCTCCAGCCGGCGACCTGGGCATGCAACCCACCCTCTTCCCCCGACCACAATCCCCACCCCAGCATCCCCTCCCACCCTCCCTCCCCCCTCTATTGCCCCAGACACACCACACCCTGCTCCCACCCTGACCTTTCCGTGGGGCAAGAGGGGAAAGGGGTCAGGGGAGGAACCGCTGCTGCTGTTCTTGGAGGGACACTCTGGAGGCAGGTCAGTGCGCCAGGGGGAGGGGGAGTTGGGATAGAGAGGGAGGGAAAGGGGGAAAGGGGGCACCCTAAGCGTGAAGCCCCTGCCTCGTCCCCAGGGAAGAGGTCGCCGGCTCTCCCCAGTGCTGCTGTGAAGGTAAGAGGCCCCGTCTGTCCATCCGTCCGTCCAACATCCCCACCGTCTCTGTAAGCCGGGCTCCCCACTCCCATTTTCCCCTTGTGGCGAGGCCGAAGGGACACTTTGGGGGCTCTTGATACTTACGGTTTGAAGGAGGCCGGCCCTCCCAACCCTGGAAAGGAAACATTAAGGCAGTGGCCCCCAGCCTCACCCCAAGGGGCCCGGCTTACAAGCAAGCGCTCTGGCTCAAGTGGGCCAGGCGGGGGACCTGATCCCATCCATTTGCCACACTCCCGGCTGAGAATGTGGGGAGAGAAGGGACCCCCGATGCAAGTTTGGCCCAAGAGCTCCAGAAGCGGCACGGTCCCAGCACAAGAGAGAGAAACACAGAGAGAGAAAGACAGAGACAGAGAGAGGAAGCGTGGTTCCCTCTAGCCATTTCCCGGCTGATTCCCAGCTGGCACACAAGACACTTGAGAAACAGAGTTGGTGGGGAGCAGGGAGGAAGAAGAAGGTCAAGGAAAGGGTCACCCTGCCCAATACCGACACAGAGGCCAAACTTGGCCCCTTGACACCCCCACAGTTTGCCATGAAGACCTGCGTTCCAGACGGGAGAGTTTTCTCATCTTTTGCAACACAAAGAGAGGAGCCCGTAACAATGCTGATGAGGATGAGGATGCCATGGGTGGGGAGGAGGAGGCGAGATGGGCAGAAGCAGCGCATGGCATGGGGGCAAGGTGTCCGGGGGGGGAAGGCAGAGAGGGAGCCAGAGAGCAAGAGAGTGAAGCAGAGGCAGGGAGGAGCAGGCAGAGCGAGCCGGGTGGCGCCGCTGGAGGAGGAGGAGGAGCGGAGAAGCGTTGTCCCCACAGACAAGAGGCATGCGTCGTCGGGCGAGGGGGGCATGCGGCAACCACATGAGACCGACTGCTGAGGGAGAGGGCGGCACACCTCTCCAGCCGGCGCCCCTTCGGGGACTCACCATCCTCGGTGGGGATGTAGACGTTGAGGTACAGGCAGTCCTCGTTGGGGTCCTGGATGTAGGTGGCTACGATGTCCAGGTTGGAGGTGAACCAGATGGGCAGCATGATCTCCGGCACTGCCGTGTGGATGTTCTGCGGGCAGACTGGGGAGAAGTGGGTGGCGTTGCGGATGCCCGACCAGGACGGGGGCGGCTCCGGGGGCATGAAGCGCTTCTCTCCGATGGGGGGTGCCGCGTACGGGACGCCTAGGTACTGGTCCACGGGCCCCAGAATCTCGCTGGGTAGCGGCACCCGCAAACCCCGCAGCTTCCCATAGTGAGTGTTGACGGTGGGCGAGTAGGCCTGGCTCTCCATCCGCACCACAGCCGCCGCGAAGCTGAGCACCCACAGCGCCAGGCGGGCCTCCCAGCCAGCCGCAGAGGCCACCGCGGAGTTCGTGCGCAGAGAGGAGAAGAGCGGTGGGCGCCGGAGTGGGTGCCACATGGTCTGGGGAGGGCAGCGCCCGACGACGCCAGGCCTCGGCAGACTCCCGGGGCTCACAGGACCCCCATCGTGCACTAAGGGGGGCACGATCCAGCAGGCGAAGAAGCAAACCCGATGAGCCAAGGGCGGCAATGGGTTCCTTCCTTAGAGGCCTCTGCCAGCTCCCAACAATTTTGCCCTTCTAGCTGGCACGGTTCTCCAGAGATGGGTGACTCTGCAGGAAAAGGAACCAAACAGAGAGAACGTTAATGGGGTTGATGGGAGATGGAGGAGAGGGGTCCATGTCAGCCAAACAATACCTAATTAATCGTTTAAATAGTATTGTTTATATGTTATTGTTTTTTAAATTGTGTTTTAGCTTGGAATCTTTGTTTATGCTGGGCTTGGTCCTCATGTAAGTTGCCCTAAGTCCCTTCAGGGAGATGGTGGCGGGATATAAAAATAAATTTAGTATTAAAGGTAAAGTTAAAGGTTTCACCTGGCATTAAGTCTAGTCATGTCCAACTAGGGGGTGGTGCTCATCTCCATTTCCAAGCTGAATAGCAGGCTGCGAAGTTGCACTAATTATCACTGCCACCAAATTGAGAAGTAGTCAGCAGAGGAGTAGCTAAATTACAAGTGCTGATGTGAAACAGGAGAGTAGAGGGAGATTTATTATTTATTTCTCTGTATTTCTACCACCAACGTGAGGTAAGATGTATTATTGTGAGAAATGGCACACTGGACGCAGAATTGATGGAGATGAGGCAGTCTTCAAACAAAAGTTAACAAATTTATTGAGCACAAAGCGTGTGGTTGCAAGTTGTAACTTTTCTTATAGAACTCAGAATAATACTTGGTTAGTTGAACGTTTCACTCTTTCAGGTTACACAGTATCTTCCTGAGGTGAAGCCAGGCCCGTAGCCAGGATTTTGTTTTGGGGGGGGGGGGGGGGGGGCGGGCTGAATTTTTTTTCAGGGGGGTTTGGGGGCTGAGTTTGGGGGGGCTGAGTCTGAGTGAAAGAGGGTCTAGCCTAGCAAACCTTTTGTATCATTACCCCAATACCCCCTCCATGCATATGGGATATATTGAGTATGGTGATCAGATCATGATATGAATAAACATAACAGTTTAAATAATGCACCAGTAAGGCCTTTTCGCGAACCACCCTGGTTACATGCCTGCCTCCGTCACACAGTATCTTCCTGAGGTGAAGCACTTATTACTAAACAAAGTTTCAATACAGGGATATCTCCCTTATCTGATCCTCCCTTGATCAGATACTTAATAAGCTTATTCTTTAGCCTTTCCTTAGACTAAAAGAATACTGGCTATGTTTCCCTTATCAGCCTCTCTAGCCTAAGAAACTTCCAGTAGCTTAATCTGGCTTTCCAAAGCCTCGAAACTTTGCTTCACAATTCACTCTCTTTCAGCTACAACCTCCTAATACAGTGTTTCTCAACCTGGGGGTCGGGACCCCTGAGGGGGTCGCGAGGGGGTGTCAGAGGGGTCGCCAAAGACCATCAGAAAGCACAGTATTTTCTGATGGTCATGGGGATTCCATGTGGGAAGTTTGAGCCAATTCTATCGTTGGTGGAGTTCAGAATGTTCTTTGATTGTAATGAACTATAAATCCCAGCAATTACAACTCCCAAATGTCAAGATCTATTTTCCCCAACTCCACCAGTGTTCACATTTGGGCATATTGAGTATTCGTGCCAAGTTTGGTCCAGATCCACCATTGTTTGAGTCCACAGTGCTCTCTGGATGTAGGTGAACTACAACTCCCAAACTCAAGGTCAATGCCCACCAAACCCTTCCAGTGTTTTCCATTGGTCATGGGAGCCAAGTTTGGTTCAAATCCATCGCTGGTGGAGTTCAGAATGCTCTTTGATTATAAGTGAACTATAAATCCCAGCAACTACAACTCCCAAATTACAAAATCAATCCTCCCCCAACCCCACTAGCATTCACATTTGGTTGATGAATGAAAATGCATCCTGCATATCAGATATTTACATTATGATTTATTACAGTAGTAAAATGACTGTTATGAAGTAGCAACAAAAACAATATTATGGTTGGGGGTCACCACAACATAAGGGACTGTATTAAGGGGTCACGGCATTGGGAAGGTTGAGAACCACTGTCCTAATACTTTCCTCTACCAACTCCTCACCCTCCAATCTTAACTGCCTCACTAACTGTCTGTTTTCAAAAACTCTCCCCTCTAGGCTCCTCCCACTTCTCTCTCTGCCGGCTTGCCTTGGTCTCCATGGCAACGCAGATGGAGGATTCCTTTGAAATAGGCCGCCCCAGTGTTACTGCAGCCAACACAAACCCATAAATACCGTTTAAATCGTGCAAATTATTATTAACTTCCTCACACAGGCGTTGTCCGTAGACACCTCCAAGGTCATGTGGCCGGCATGACTGCATGGAGTACCGTTACTTTCCTGCAGAATCAATACCTATTGATCTACTCACATTTGCATGTTTTCAAACTGCTAGGTTGGCGGAAGCTGGGGCTAAAAGGGGGAGCTTACCCCACTTCCCAGATCTGAACTGCCAATCTTTCAGTCAGCAAGTTCAGCAGCTCAGCTGTTTAACCCGCTGCACCACCTCGTCCCCTCCCTTAAAGAAGTTGTTGTTGTTGTTATTATTATTATTATTATTATTATTACTACTACTACTACTACTACTACTAGCTGTACTCAGCCACGTGTTGCTAGAACCCATTGTGGAGAAATGGGAAAGAAAGAAAAGAGGAAGACCTAGTTTCTATACTATCAATACACAACTGAAGTAGCAAAGTGTTAACCTAATATAGGCCCATTTCAGTCTCCTCGAGGCCAAAGGGTTATATGGATGTGTGGAAGGGCCCTGGGTTACCTGAGTCCATACTGCCATATAACCCAATTCAAAGATATTATATATGTATTATTATTATTATTATTATTATTATTATTATTATTAGGTTCTTGTGGGGTTTTTTCGGGCTATATGGCCATGTTCTAGAGGCATTTTCTCCTGACGTTTCGCCTGCATCTATGGCAAGCATCCTCAGAGGTAGTGAGGTCTGTTGGAAGTAGGAAAATGGATTTATATATCTGTGGAATGACCGGGGTGGGGCAAAGAGCTCTTCTCTGCTGGAGCTAGGTGTGAAAGTTTCAACTGACCACCTTCATTAGCATTTGAAGGCCTGGCCGAGCCTATTATTGATGTAAAGATATTATTATAGGCATGTAGATATTATTATTATACACACACACATTATTATTAATGGCATATAGGTATTATTATCATTATAGATGTATAGATATTATTGACATACAGGTATTATTATTACAGATGTATGGATATTATTATTACAGACCTATAGATATTATAGGCATCTAGTTATCTATTATATTTATTTATTTAAAACTTTTATATCCCAATCTTCTCAACCTCCGTAGAGGGACTCTATTATTATTATTATTATTATTATTATTATTACTATTATTATTATTATTATTATTATTATTGATATAATATAGTTGTTATTATTACAGAAGTGGAGCCCCCAGTGGCGCAATGGGTTAAACCCTTGTGCTGGCAGGACTGAAGACTGACAGGTCGCAGGTTCGTATTCTGGGGAAGAGCGCAGATGAGCTCCCTCTGTCAGTTCCAGCTCCCCAAGCGGGGACATGAGAGAAACCACCCACAAGGATGGGAAAACATCAAAACATCTGGGCATCCCCTGGGCGACGTCCTTGCAGACGGCCAATTCTCTCACACCAGAAGCAACTTGCAGTTTCTCAAGTCACTCCTGACATGATTTTTTTTTTACAGAGGTATAGATATTTTTATCAGTATTGACATAGATATTCTTATAGGCATATAGATATTATTATTATTGATATGATATTGCTATTATTATTACAGAGGTATAGATATTTTATTATAGGCATCTAGATATTATTATTATAGATATATAGATATTATTGACAGATATTATTATAGACCTACAGATATTATTATAGGCATCTAGATATTATTATTACAGACATGTAGATATTATTATAGACATGTAGATATTATTGCTATAGGCATATAGATATTATTATAATAGACATAGATATTATTATTAAAGACTGATAGATATTATTATGATAGATATATAGATATTATTATTGTAGATATTGTAGCCCAGGGTTGCTATAAAGTAAAAATGGATGGCCATCTGTCGGGAGTTCTTTGATTGTGCCTTCCTGGACAACGTTTCCTGTTTTTGGCCTTTCTTTGAGTACTGGGCTTCATTTCCCAGAATTTCTTCCCATAACTCAATATGGCTGAGCTTTCTGCGAGTTGAAGTGTGTGTAGAGATGTGTGTGTGTGTGTATACACATACACACTTACACAGACACACAGATTCCCTTCAGTGCGAGTTCCCAGGCAGCCATGAGGGAAAGGAAAGGAAAGGGAGGGGAGGAGGTGGATCTGGAGGAGTGTGCTCTCTCTCTCTCTCTCTCTCAATCCTTCCTTCCTTCTCTCCTTCCTTCCTTTCTCCCCTCTCTTTCTAATATTAATTTATTTACTAGCCGTCCCTGCCACGCGTTGCTGTGGCCCACATGGGGGTTCTGTGTGGGAGGTTTGGCCCAATTCTATCGTTGGTGGGGTTCAGAATGCTCTGTGATTGTAGGTGAACTATAAATCCCAGCAACTACAATTTCAAGATTCTATTTTCCCCAAACTCCGACAGTGTTCACATTTGTGTAGAGTTTGGTCCAGATCCATCATTGTTTGAGTCCACAGTGCTCTCTGGATGTAGGTGAACTACAACTCCAAAACCAAAGGACACTGCCCACCAAACCCTTCCAGTATTTTCTGTTGGTCACGGGAGAACTGTGTGTCAAGCTTGGTTCAGTTCCATCATTGGTGGGGTTCAGAATGCTCTTTGATTGTAGGTGAACTATAAATCACAGCAACTACAACTTCCAAATGACAAAATCATTTTTTTTAGTGAAGGACATACATTGGGTTGTTAGGTGTCTTGTGTCCAAATTTGGTGTCAATTCCCCCAGTGGTTTTAGAGTTTTTTTAATCCCACAAGCGATCATTACATTTATATTTATATTATTATTATTATTATTATTATTATTATTATTATTATTATTACCTGCACCATTGCCAAATGAGCCCTGAGTCTTATGGAGAAGTGTGTTTTGCAGACCTAAGACTGGGGTGTTGTGTGGTTTTCGGGCAGTATG